CCCGCCGCCCCTTACCGGCGATCCACTGTTCCTCTACAACGACAACGACGACCTGCTGCACTTCCTTGTCACCAACCTCAAGAAACGGAGCTGCTGATCCTCTCCAACGACCTCTCGCTGCTCCTCTCCAACTCTCTGCGGTTCATCAACAAGATGACGACCGTGTAGCTGTTGTTCTTCATCCTCTGCTACTCTTCTTCAAGCTCTACGCAGGAGATCTCCAAGCTTCTCCTGCTAAAGATCGTCCCCAACATGACCCTATTGTTCCTCTTCTTCGCCTACAACATCTACAACTTAGAAGATCATCAAGACCCATAGGCTCTGAATCTCTCTTTTCTCTTGTTTCTGTTAACTGAATATATGTATTGCTGGGTCTGAAACTTGCCCTGTCACCTGTGCATCTTCACTAAACCCCCATGAATCCTTGTTGGGTTGCTGTGAATTGTTGCATGGAATGAGTTAGTCGGTGAAAATTACAGTGAGAACACTCAATAAGTTACCTAGTGATCTTGATTTCCTATGTGAGTAGTTATGAGCAATTGAATCGTCTTTCCTTTGCTAGTACTTGTTTGTGTGTTCGATTAATCAGAATTTTACCAAAAATATAGTCCTATCTCTGAACCCTTAACCTTTGTTGTCAATTATTTTGTTTCACTTTGATCTAGTGACTACTTGTTACCACGACTGTTTGATTAGTCTGATAAGTTGTTTCTAGCTCTATTAAAACCAAACATTCTCTTCTCCTGATTGTTTCGAATGCGTGTTCCGGAGTTCTAGATCCGTGTGGAGAACCGACATTCTAATATCACTATATCTACATTTGATCATTTTGGCGCCTTTGCGAGGGATCTAAATTTCATTAGCACGTTAGTAGAAGCAGATCAGGATTTATTTTAGGTTGATTCCATAGTATTGCTGGCAACTAACCATTTCCTAACATTGGTTGCAATTTCAAGAAAAACTAGCATGTGTCAATTTCAGGAACTTTACAAGAAATTGTCTTATGTTACAATCTGAAGAAAGTTCACTAGAGCCATTTGATCCAAAAATTGAAATGGATTTCTTGAAAAGAAGAAGAGAGAATCAAACACGGATTCAAGTTGCTAAAACTCTGCAAGAACAAGAAGAAGAAAAGATGCCCGATCTAGTAGCTTTGCTCAGGGACTTGTGGATTCCAAGATCCACATGAGCATATTAGGACTTTCTTGGAGTATTGTAGCACCCTCAAGCGAAATGGAGTTTTAGCAAGTGCTATCAGATTGTCACTGTTTCCATTTTCCTTGAGAGATGGAGCAAGAGTATGGCTTCACTCATTTCCCGAACATCTGAAGAATACTTGGGAAACCTTATATCGCAGACATTCCTCGAGAGGTATTTTGCACCAACAAAAGTTGTTGAATACAGGGACAAGTCAACAAGGTTTACTCAATATGATGGAGAAAGTTTGTATGATGCATGGAAAAGATTCAACTCTTTAATCAAAATGTGTCCCCATCATGGGTTAGAAAGGTGGCTGGTGTTACAAACCATTTACAAAGGACTGACTACTCAGACCAGAGCCTTTGTTGATTCTGCTGCCGGAGGAGGAATCATGAACAAAATTGTTGATGCAGCATTTGCATTGATTGAAAGTATGGCTTCTCACCATTTCCAGTGGTCGAGTGAAAGAGCAATAGCACCATCGCATCCTGGTGTGTATAATGTGACTGCAAATGATAACATGGCGGCATAGATTGAAATCTTGAACAAGAAGATGGATAGTATCATGTCAAATTGCATCAGTACATCTGTAGCTTCAGTAAGTGTGCCTCAAATGTGTGATGTATGTGGCCAAGCAAGTCATCCTTCAGGGGAATGTACCTTTTATTCAGCAATTGGATCATCGGTTTCAGAAGTGAGTTATGCCCAAAGTCAAGGTCCATTCTCAAACAGCTACAATTCTTCTTGGAGGAGCCATCCGAACTTTTCGTACAAGAACAATCAGTCATATGCAAGTGGATCAACAATACAAGGAAATCGACCACCAAATCATCCAGGTCAATTTCAAGTGCTGAGGCAGAATGAACAACAAAATGTCCAGTCAAATGGAATGGAGGAAATCATGAAGATGCAGTTGGGATTGATTATCAAGATGGAAAATGAAGTTAATGGCTTAAAAGACTCTGTTAAGGTGCTTGAGCAAGATGGATAGTATGGTGGGAGAAAATGAAGCAAGACTGCCTGCTCAACCAATTCCAAACCTAAAAGCCCATTGTGGGGCAATATCTTCAGTTGTTGCAGTCACTAAAAGGAGTGGAGTTCTGACAGGGCCATTACTCCCTACTTCGAAGACATATGTGCCACTTGCTATGAGGCCAAGCTCATCTGGAACTTCTTTCAGCGTCATCCGAGAATCTAAAGGAGAAATAAGTTGATAACCAAATTGAAACTGGAGTTGAATTTCCTGGTTTTCAAACAAGAGCTGAGCCTTTGCTCGAGGAAGCAATAACAACCAGCAGTATTCCTTTTCCTAAGAGGTTCAACAAACCCAAAGATGTCAAGCAATTTGCCAAATTCGTTGAAACTATGAAAGGAGTTCAGATTACTATTCCTATTCTAGAAGCTATCTTGCATGTTCCAATGTATGCAAAATATTTCAAGGAATTATTAACAAAGAAAAGAAGCATGTCTGAACCAGAAGTAGTGACTCTATCAAAAGAATGTAGTGCAATAATTCAGAATTCCATGCCTGAAAAATTGGATGATCCGGAAAGCTTTTGTGTACCATGTCTGATTGGAAACGGAACTTACAATGCTCTATGTGACTTGGGCTCAAGTGTTAGTGTGCTACCAGATTCAGTTAGCCGACAGAACATATAGGAACCGGTTGGAATTCTTGAGGATGTTCCAATAAAAGTTTGGAGGTTTAATTTGCTTATCCTATTGACTTTGTAGTGCTAGATATGGAGGACAAAAGTGAGGTTGTGGTACTTGGAAGACCATTTTTGGCCACAGCTGGTGCACTTATTGATATCCAAGAAGCTAAATTGAGCTCGAGGTTTGGAAATGAAAAGGTTGAGTTTAACATGAAGAATGCAACACATGTTCCGCAAAGAGAAGAACACTGCTACAGTATTGATACACTACATAAATGTGTGGAAGAAGGTTATGAAGAGAGGTATGGAAGTAATTGTTGCGAAGTAGTTGAGGAGGAAAATAGTGAAATTAGATATGAGGAAATCAGACCTGTGAGCATGTGGGAAAGCAGCGCCAGGCCATTAGAAGATACAGCCAAGGCAAATAGAAACGAAACAACTTCCCGAAAGTTTGAAGTATGCATTCTTAGACAATGAAAACCAGTGGCCAATTATCGTAAATAGTGAGTTGACGGAAAGGCAAATAAAAGGGCTTGGATGAGTTTTTTTTTGCAATTTTAACATTGAACAGATCAGAAACGCTTATAGTTGCCATATGTATTTTATTTTGTTTAAAATGTGCATCAATATATAATTCAAATTATCATAAGTTATAATATAATAGAGGATGAACCTAGGAAGAGACATTAACACAATGACGCCAAATCCGCACTTGTCTTGACCATTAAAGTGTGACTCCAAAAGCATTAATTAGTTTGACTTGAAAGCGAGGTCAAAGAGGAGTGTGCAAGTAGTTTGAAAATGCAACTTCTATATTGAGCAGTTAAGTGTGCACACATTATCATGACAAACCTGTTTGTGTCATGTGTATATTAGCTGCAAAAATAGACCGTGTGTATCAACCGTATTTGTGAGTTTTGGATTATGGTTGATTAAAGGTCCCACCAAGGTCATGATAGTCGCACCCTTTGATGAAGAGTTTGATCTAGTTTGATCTAGCCATTGAATCTTTTTTGCCACAGTTTCTTGAGAAATTTTATCATATTTATTATGTCTTAAATTTTCAGGCACCAACAGGTTTTGGGCTTGCTGAACCTTTTATGACAAACAATACTAATCTTGGATGAGTTTTTGGTAACATTCTGAACACACGAACACTCCAGAAAAAGTTTAGAGTTGAAATGCTTAATTTTCTTTTCTTTCTGAAATGCATGAAAGTAAACAAGTCATTTTTTTGTAAATAACAATTCAATAGATGGTGAACGTGGGGAGAGACGTCGTTGTAATGAGACCAAAGCCAGGCTTGTTCTTACATGGAAATTAAAGAATGGTTGCAGCTGATTGATTAGGTTGGGCCGGCAGAATGGAGGAAGCGACAGGACTGCAAGTCATTTGATAATGCAACTTGCGCCACAATAATACATCAAGCAGTTGAGCTTGTCGGCATATATAATCATTGATTAGCACGCGTCGTCATGCATGTTGTGATTAATCACCCAAAAAAATAGTGCGCTAGTACAACACGGCTAATAGCACGCTAGAACATTTTGTGCAATGTCTCGTTAAATGAAATCTGGGCACAATCATTTAATATAGCGCGATATAGCTTCGCTATAGCTGAAAGTGTTCTTGTGAGCCCAAGTTCACATGCACCCCTTGCTACAATGAAATCCAAAAAAAATCTAAAAATTCAAAAAAAATGATTTTTTTACCAACAAACATTGATGTTTTTTCATATGTGTGCAAAATATCGTGACACAATGGCTTTCATGCAGGTCTCAATAAAATTTAAGGCTTCCAAAACTGTTTTTATTTAGCATGATTGCATTTATTGATTTTGGCGAGACCTCCACAAATGCCATTCCATCACGAAAGTTGGCACGCATGTGAGCTGGAGCTCACATACTTCATGTCCTGCTATACCGGACTTTAAGGGCTGCGCTGTTTTCGTCCTTGGCTGTAATCGATATTACTCCCTCCGTTCTGTAATGTAAGATCATTTTGCAAGCTCTTATTAACCATTGTTTCACTGGAGATGAGCCAGGGATGACGCATCCTTTCACAAGGCTGGCACGCTGTAAATGAGTGCTCGCTCGCTTCTTATAAAGCGGTGACTTGCCGGAAACCAACATACATACGGTCAGCATGGAGCATATGTGGACGCCATTGATCTTGCTGCAGCTGCTCCTAGCGGCAGCTGCAACAGCAGCCACCACCGCGACGACTGCTGGGTGTCGGCCGAGCTGCGGCGGCGTGGACATCCCCTACCCTTTCGGCATCGGCGTCGGCTGCTTCCGCAAGGGCTTCGAGATCGAGTGCATCAACAACAGCCCTGTGCTCGCCGGTACGTCTCTCCGGGTGGTTAAGCTGACGTTGGATCCAGACCAGTCGCAGGTGATGCTCCCCATGGGGTGGCAGTGCTATAACGCCTCCGACCCAGGTGACACCTACAGCAACTGGGACTATGGAGAGACGACGATGAACAAGGACGGCGTCTACCGCATCTCCAACACGCACAACATGCTCGTCGTCGTCGGCTGCAACACCTTCGGCTTCACGGCGAGCAAGAGGACCGAGGGTGGCACCGCCACTCACACCTACTACACTGGCTGCATGTCCTACTGCAACAACTCGGCCAGTGCACAGGACGGCCTCTGCGACGGCGTCGGGTGCTGCCATGTCAACATCCCGCCGGGGCTCACCCACAACTTCTTCAACTTCCGGGAGTATGACCACTCCGCCATGATGGACTACAGCCCGTGCGACTACGCCTTCCTCGTCGACAGGAACAACTACACCTTCCGACGGTCCCACCTCAAGATGGACACAAAACGGACCTCGCCCGTGTGGCTGGACTGGGCCATTCGCGGCAACGGCGACAGTATACTGTCGTGCAAGCAAGCAGCCAAGACCGACCAGTACGCCTGTGTCAGCGCTCATAGCGACTGCGTCGACTCCATCAACGGGCCTGGCTACAACTGCAAGTGCTCCAATGGCTACGAGGGCGACCCCTACTTGCCCAACGGATGCACTAGTAAGAGGCCCTGCTTAATTAGTACTTCCTCAGCTTCAAAATACTTGATGTTCTAATTTTCTTTCCTACATCAAACATATTAGTTTGTTTAAATTCGTTATGAAGTATATTTCCATATTATATGCAGTTGATTGATGTTGTACATACTGATATATGTTCCTACAAACATATGGTCAAATATAGAGATGCTTGAAAACTTCAAATATTTAAATGTCCCTAATTAATTTTCATTTTTGAATTTGGGCCGGGACACACAGATATAGATGAATGTGCAGATCCGGCCAAATATCCTTGCTATGGTGTATGCACGGATACCCAAGGATCGTACGACTGCAACTGTCGTCTAGGTTATCGAAGCCATGACCCAAGAACCGAACGATGTACTGAAAAGTTCCCACTTGCCGCACAGATTTCCGTAGGTAATTAACATCATACTCTTCTTTTTGCTGAGTAATTAACATCATACTCCTACCACACATGTATGTATTAATTCCATCGCATTTGATGATTACATTGTATAAATTGATCCCCCTCGGTAGCACAAGCATACCTATATATACAAAGTAATTAAAGTATGCTAAAATATCTTATTTCTCAAATACTCCCTCCATTTCTTTTTACTCCGCATATAAGATTTGGTCAAAGTCAAACTTTGTAAAGTTTGACCAACTTTGTAGAAAAAAATATCAACATCTAAAACACTAAAGCTATATGATATGAAAATTAATTTCATGATGCATCTCACAATATTGATTTCATATTGTGAATCTCGATATTTTTTCTATAAACTTAGTCAAAGTTGACAAAGTTTGACTGTGACCAAATCTTATATGCAAACTAAAAAGAAACGGAGGGAGTATGTAGTTTGTATAGTTCGAGACTGTAGGTGAAGTGTCATGAATTCAACTGAAATTCAACAACTTGACAATGAGCAGAAAATACAACGACTCTAAATTGATCTCTCTCAGTTGCTTGGAATGATTTTTTTTCAAGGACGCATAAATGCATATTTTCACAATCGCTCTGTTGGATCATCTTTTTCACATTAGAGTGATGCTCCAATATTTATTTTATATTTTTTGATAACTTTTAAACCGCTAAAGACATATTAAGCCTTTGACAAGTAACGTGGTAAGCTATGACAGACACAATTTTACCTATATATATTCTACAACCGTTCTCCAAGTAATTCTGAACTGCAGCACAGAGACGCCAAACGGTAGTAGTGGAAGTTTTGAATTTCTCGTGTTCGGTACTATTTTTTCGAGATGATTTTGTAATTGTTTATGGGAATTATGTGTAAGATAGAGACCTTCATTTATTACTTTGTAGAAACATTTTTTTCATTGGGAAATGCTATTTGATGATAAAATGTTGTGTTACTTCATTTGTCTCTCTCCTGTTTAATTACGTATCACATCTTTTTTTTTTTTTTTGCATATGTCGCATGCATGTTACTACGGCATGTGTTACTCACTACGAATAGTCTAAGGTCCAAGAGCCATACTGTCCTTCCCCCTTAAGTTTATTCAAGTGAGAGGGAACGAGAGTCCATACCAATGGGGGGCTTTACATATGGGAGGGTACCTTGACAAATGAACAAGGCTACTGATGGTGTTGGTAGGTGTGAGCGATAGAATGATAAGTGTAGATCCGAGTCCGTGAAGACTAGCCAAATGTGAGGGTGTCCACGGTCCATGCTACACAACTCCTCTTTATCCATGCATTAGTGTGTATTTGGTTTGTTGTGCCTTATTTAGATTTGGACCCGTTTGATTCTTGGCTTCTTGCTTGACTTATTGATCATGACAATTTTCTTGGAATTTTACTGACCACTATGGATTTTTTGACTGAGCGGGAGTTTCGTTGACCATCTTGGCCCTTGCTGACTGTCTTGGATATGACAGAGCTTAGTTCAATTTCCAATGTATCACTTTTATATTTGTGGCAGTTTAAAGCACTGTGTAAACTCCAGAATTAAGTTTATATCTTTTATGGCAAACTACAGTTAAGGTTTTATTCTTTCCCATGTAGGTGCAATAAGTGGCATTCTCGTCTTGGCACTTATAATATTCGTTTATGTTCTTCGCAAAGAGAGGCGGGAGGCCAGGGACTTTTACCGAAAGAATGGTGGTCTTACATTAAAGGATGCTGCAAATATTAAGATTTTCAAAAGGGGGGAGCTCAAAGCAATTTTAAAGAGTCACAATTTAATTGGAAAAGGTGCCTTCGGTGAAGTTTACAAGGGTGATATTGATGGAGCTCTAGTTGCGATAAAGAAACCAATTGGTGATAATGTGCATGAGAACAAGCAATTTCCAAATGAAGTTATTATCCAGTCTCAGGTCATGCATAGGAATATTGTAAGGCTTAGAGGTTGTTGCCTTGAAGTGGATACCCCCATGCTAGTGTACGAATTCATCTCCAATGGAAGCTTGGAAGACTTTCTTCACAAGGATAAAAGCAAGCTTCTCAACTTGGACGTACGTCTAAGTATTCTTCAAGAATCAGCACATGGTCTATCTTATATGCACTCACAAACCCACACCAAAATCTTACATGGCGATGTTAAACCAGCAAACATTCTCTTGGATGAAAAGTTTACGCCGAAGATCTCAGATTTTGGCATATCAAGGTTGATTGCAAAAGACAAGGAACAGACTGCCAACATCATAGGTGACATGACTTATATGGATCCAGTATACCTAAAGACAGGCCGATTGACCGACAGAAGTGATGTCTATAGTTTTGGGGTTGTCATTTTAGAACTCATTAGCAGGAAGAAGGCCACTCACTCTGACAATAATAGCTTAGTGGGCAGCTTCCAAGAGTGTCATCAAAGAGGGGAGACAGCCCTGAAGTTGTTTGATCCAGAAATTGCAACAACAGGCAATTTCGAAATTCTTGACAAGCTAGCAAAGATTGCTATGGAGTGTCTTCATCTTGATGTGGATCAAAGGCCATCAATGACAGATGTTGCAGAGCGCCTTCTCATACTGCATAGGTCCCGTAAGCTGTAGGTTGGTTTCCTGGTCGGATTTAAGTTTCAATAGCATGTATGTTAGTTCCGTCGAATAAGACACGTAACTATAGAAGTGCGTACTTTGTTGTTTTTGATGTTCAATCACAATTTGTACTACTGTACTAGTGAGTATCTGTCTGTTTCATGTGAGCAAATGTACGTATTGATTTAAAACTCTTCCAATTCAAAACCCTTCCGATTCCATGAAGACCTGATTACGAGTGTGTGTGGGTTCCGTGAGATCTTGTGTGTTCTCCTTAGGATAAGTTAGGTCTACACGAGGTAATAGATACTCCCTTCGTAAAATAATATAAGGGCGTTTAGATCACTACTGGAAGTACAAAACACCCTCTCCTCATCCGATTCACTGGAGCTAAGATGTCATTCGGAGGAGACGACACCACACTCGCAATGATCATTCTTTGGCTCCTTCTGTCGACTTCTTATGTCGAGGTTGGTACAGCAACTGTCGAGGAGTTATTAAGGTCTGACCAAGAAGAGAAAAGCTGAACATGCTTGCTAGCCTGGCTTCAGAGCTTGGAGCGACCACAGGATGTTGGCAACTGCACGCATGACAGGGATCACAGCCATGATTTTATTCTATATTATACCTTAATTTGCTGGCTCCTGGCCGACACATGACAACAAACAGGCTGTCTGGTCGTTGCGATATTAGTTTCTTTACGGACGTCCTCACATGTTCAACTCTAGTTAACTTAACAAACAACAATATGGCAGCATTTCTGGTCAAGACAATATCAGAGACCAATCTCATTCGATGCTACTCCCTGCATCCCATAATGTAAGACATTTTTTGACATTACACTAATATCAAAAAACTTCTTACATTGTGGGACGGAGGGGGGAGTACTATATAATATGGTTACCTGATTGAACAGGCATGTGACGGCGAGCTATGGATCTAAATCATGTTGCATTTTCAAGAAATGCAGTTTAGATGCTATTATTACTCAGAAGAAACAAGTAAACAGTGCATCCGGTTGGTATGACTTTTCTGGAAACCAGCCAAGATCAGCAGAGGTTCCGTATAGTATGGTTGTTGGATCGATGAAATATATACTCCTATATGGTATGAATGGCTGCCATATGATATAACTTGCAAGAGCGAGTTGTTCTTTTGTCACTCATGGCCAGTAATTAATCATAGTTCAAGCCGTCGACAATTAGATGCCGGCCGTTTTTCCTTTTCAAAGGCATCCTGCGACGTACACACCCCCGTGTCGTCTCATCTGGAGGCGACTCGGGCGGACCCCCGACCCCTGCCGCCGAAACCCACCCCCTCCTCCCGCTTCTCCCTCGCCGCCGCCGGCACACGTCGATGGGCAAAGCCCGCTGGCGGCTGGCGGTGGCGGGACCAACTCTTTTTTTCCGCGTGGGGAGCTCCTGGTGGTTGGCGGCTGCTGGATCTCGCGGTGGTGCGTGGCGGCTGTCCAGCTAGGCAGGCTCTCGAGTTGCGGCGGCTTGGGGGTTGCCGGTATTGGCTGTTGTGCGGCGCGTGCGGTGGAGCCGGACTCGGCCGGGGTTGATGCGGGCACGCATGCATCTGACCCAGATTTGGCGGGTTTGCGTGGCTCCAGATCTGGGCGTGCGGCCGCGTCCTATGGCCTCCCTCCTGCCATCCTGCACTTGTGCGCTGGTGGTGCCTGCTGCCGGCTCCGGCTGCTCCAACTCATGTGAGGGTAGAGGTGGAGGGGGTCCCAGGCTTCATGTCAATGACTCTTGTGGCCCTCTTCTCGTGGCGCAGTGGGGGTGCTCCACTCCTCTCCCCGGGCTTGCTGTGGCGGCTAGAGGCGGTCTTTGGATTTTGAGGCGAGGCGTTCGTGTTTGGCTCCGGGTGAAAACCTTGCAGAGACCTCAGTCAATGCCGGTGACGCGCGATGCTTTCTGGTGTCATCCTCCTCCCTGTAGGCGCATTGCTGAGGAGTCTAGTTCATCCAAATCCCTCGAGTCTAGGGTCTCCGGGCGAAAGTCCATGATCTGGTTTGCTAGATCGGGCGACAACGGCGTCGTGTACGTTGCTACCTCCTTGGAGGCGTCATCTTGGAGACCTTGACTGTGGGTGGTTACCGACGGCTCATGTGGTTGGTTGGCGGTGGTGTGTGGCTGACGGTGTTGGTGGTGTGTGGCTGATGGTGGTGGTGGTGCGGTCGGTTTGGGGTCGGCGGTGGTTTTGTGCTCTTCTTGGCGGTGTTTGTGCTCGAGTGCTTCCTGGTGTGTCTCTGCTAGGTGATGCCCTGTGTCTACGCCGGTGACACAAAGGTGTCGTGGCATCGTCTCGGTCTCGCATGCCCTTTCGAATGTACCCCCGACATAGGTGGTGTCGTGGCGTTGTGCAGTCTAGGTTGCGCGGTGCCTTTCTATTGCATCGATGGTGCAGTGGCATGGTTTGGTCCGCTTGGTGATGCTCTTTGACTATACCAGTTGTCGGATCACGGGTTCCGGCAAACCCTTGAGGTTCGAACTCTGGGATGCGCGCGAAGTTCTTTCCCTCCTTCCAATATACGCCCTAACTCGCTAAGGTCTCGCGGATGAACTCGACGCACTCGCAACACAAAGACACAAGGTTTATACTGGTTCGGGCCACCGATGTGGTGTAATACCCTACTCCAGTGCGGTGGTGGTGGATTGCCTCTTAGGCTGATGATGAACAACAAAGGGGAAGAACAACCTCCTAAGGTTGAGGTGTTCTTGTGCTTGGCGTGCTAAGGGTTGGCCTTTGATCAGATCGGATCCCCCTCTTTGGTGGTGGCTAGTCTTACTTATATAGGCCCTGGTCCTCTCCCCAAATATTGAGCGGGAAGGGAGCCAACAATGACGGCCAATTTGGAAGGGGACAGCTAGTACAAGCTATCCTGACAAAAGGTGGTCTTCGCCTGCCAAAGGTTCTGGTTGTGACGCCGTCCTGGGCTCCATGGTGACCTCCGTCCTGCCGTCCTTCTGGTCTTGGTCTTATTGCACCGATGTGGAAACCTTTGCCTAATGCCTCGGTACTCCGCTCCTGCGCTTGCCTCCTTAGCACCAAAGAGGAAACAAGGACGTTGTGCGTGCTGGTGCCCGCCTGGCGCCCACCTGGTGTCGATCGTCATGGCTCACGTCACGAGAGCCTCGCGAGGTTCGCCCCGCCTTGATATCTTCGCTCCTCGCGAGGCAGCCTGGTGAGGCCGCTCCTGAGGAGGTCTTGGGTCGTCCGCCTCGCGAGGCTTGACCCCTCGCGAGGGTCTTGAATGCCTTGTTGACGATGATGGGCCGTACAGACCTGCCAGCACAACCACGTCATGGGCCGCAGGCAGGCAAGTCTGGGGACCCCCGTTCTCAGAACGTCGACACCAGTGGCACACAGGTGTCGTGGCGCCGTCTTGGCCTCGTGTGACCCTTCGAATGTGCCCACGACACAGGTGGTGTCGCGGCCTTGTGCAGTATCGGATGCGCGGAAGCCTTTCGATTGCGTCGATGATGCAGTGTCCTGGTTTGGTCTTGGCTGGCCAATGTCGTTCGATTACACTAGCGGTGCTCTTTGTCTATTTTGTGTTGTGTTTTCCCTCTTTGTTCCCCCTTGTGTGTTGTCGGTGTGTGTAGTTTTTGCTTTATCTCTTCTCCCTTGTGCCCCTTGTACTTCTGGTTCACTTAAATCCTATCCCGCAAAAAGACTGCAAAGTCTTTAGGCAAAAATGAATACAATTCAGGTGGGAAGAATTACTTCTCCCCCCGGTGATTTTTTTTAAAAAGGCATCCTGCCGACTGATGGCATGTGTTGAACAGTCGCATCTACCTTTTTTGGCTAGTTATACACTCATGATTTTATTTTATTTCCATTTTTGGAATTTATTTTTGTTTATCTGTACCAGATATGCTACTTATTACAATATTTTTTGAAAATTGGAATTGTTTAAATTTTATTGTCTATGAGATTTAAGCCATAAATCTACTTGGTCCATCACCAATATATGGAATACGACTGGCATCTAACAATGCTCAATCATACTAAGTTTATCAACTCGGTTGTTTATACGCCGGTCAGGTTCAGTTCATTGTACTAGCTAGGTAGCTACCACTCACTCACGGCAAGAGTTAATATAGCACCAACCACATTATATCCTATTAACCAGTTTAGATTATTCTAGTATGTACCAAGTGGTTGATTAATTAGACATGGCGGTTAATTAATGCCGAGTACTGACATATCATACATCTACTTGCTTGCAAATAATTCATGCTAATTGCTTGATGCAGCTTGTTGTGCTTCAGATACAATTTTGACTTGGATTTGGATTGAAATGCAAGGAATTTTACAATGCGAATAGTAAGGCATACAAGTACAACATGCATGCAGCATGCAAGTACAATCCGGTCCGGTACGTCATAGCCTGCCTTGAGAGCTTCGAGCGACGATAAGATGTCGACAACTGCAACAATGACCTAGATCACGGCTATGATTTTATTCCTGTTCATCTTAATGAACCAAGCACAAACGGTCATTTGTGGCTGGGGTGTGGGTGGACGGAGGGAGCCTGGACCTTGCATGATTAGGAATTACCATGGGCATGGAGCTAGCGTAAAACCAAGCAAGTAATGACAACTGAAATAATAACTGATCACACCCGGTCCATTATACCTTAGCTAGCTCCTGGCCGCCACAGACGCCAAACAGGCTGGCTGGTCGTTCAAATGTTCAAGTTTCTTCACAGTCGGTCTTCACATGTTCAACTCTAGTAACCTTATAATGAATCACAATACGGCAGCATCTTTGGACCAACCTCATTTGATGCTATATAATATGGTTGTGAAGGCCAGCTATCGATCGCGTCCGGTTGGTGTGACTTTTCTGGAAACAAGCCAAACTTGAGACTCTAGATCAGCTGAGGTTCCATATAGCATGGTTGTTGGAGGGTATCAATGAGATGTATATATAGTATGGTTGGCTGCCATATGATATATTGTATGGTTATACTTGCAAGAGTGGGCTGTTCTTCTGTCACTCATCGCCAGTAATCATGTTTCAAACCATCGACAATTAAATGCCGGCCGTTGTCCTTTTCAAAGGCATCCTGCCGTCTGGCGGCATGAGTTAAACACTGGATCATCCTGCCTAGCCAGTCCTTCCGACACACTGGACATTTCCAAAATTATGTGTGACATATCCAAATTGTTCTTTTGAGAACCAACATATTTAGAATTGCATACCACTAGCAGATGTTGCCTTAACAAGAAAAAAAAATACACCATTGAAAACTTAGGTGGTATACTACTACTGACATGGTTATAGGGACAACGTTAATTTGTTCAAATCTATTGAACTATGTATTGCAGTGGATCCTAGTTATAAACTGGTAATCTTGATAAGTGCATTTTATAAGTTTATTTACATTGTTGGCTTCTTCTTCCTTGATATGTCAATGTACTCCCATCAGTTCAAAGTTGTAGCTTTTGTTCTGTTTTCTCTCAAGATACAGATCTTCGTTTATCCAGGTCATAAGAGGATGCTAATTGCTTGATGCAGCTTGTCGTGGTTCAGATACAAATTTCACTTGAAATAGGGAATTTTACAATGCAAACAGTAATAGTCATAAAATAGTACAAGCATGCTAGCACAATCAGGTCGGCTACGTCTTTGCATGGCTTGAGAGCTCGGAGCGACGACAAGATACCGATAACTGCACCAATGACCGTGACCACCTCCATGATTTTAGTCCAGTGCTTGATAATGTAGAGGTACGACCTGAGCCCAAATGACCTCCTCATACATCTAGGTAGCTGCCTCTCACTCACAAGTCACGACACGAGTTAACATAACACAAACCATATTATAACCTATTAAATCGTTAGATTATACTACAATATGTATCAAGTGGTTGTTTACATAGGGCTTGGCCGCTAATTAATGCTTGAGCACCGACATATCATACTAGATCCAATTGCTTGCAAATAATTCATGATAATTGCTTCATGCAGCTTGTGGTGATACAGATACAATGAATTTCACTAGAAATAGGAATGAGATACAAGGAATTTTACAATGCGAATAGTAAGAGGCATACAAGTAGAACATGCAAATAATGCTAGTACAATCAGGTCTGGTACATCTTAGCTTGGCTTGAGAGCTTGGAGCGACGATAAGATGCCGATAACTACACCAATCACCGAGATCACCGCCGCGATTCTGCGTCTGTTCTTGTTCATGAAGAGCCACATCGTGAGGGGAATTCGCTTCTTCCCCTTGAAGTCCTGGATGTCCATCATTATCCTGAGGTAGCTCCTTCCAACGCGCATGTTCTTGCCAATGAGAGTGAAGAACTCGAGCGTCTCCTTGCTGGTGAGTCCTCCTCCTTGGATGACACCTTTTGCTCGCAGGTCATGCACGTGCCTCTCCTGGTCCAGCAGCATGACGAAGAGTTGGAGGTAGGAGCAGACATCGGAATTTTTGTCAGCAATATCATCGAAATCTGAGGCCCTGCATAACTCGAAGGCCGCCATGTTGACGAGCCAGGTCGCATTTCTGTCGGTTAGGCACAGGGGAGGCACGGAGAGAACGCCAAAGAAGGGTGGTTTACTGTGGAGGCCCATGTCTACTAGCCCTTCTTCTGTTTCCGCCTCGGGTTTGAACGTGATGCCTACAGCGTCAAGCTCTGCGACGCTCATAGATAATGATATGGGCCTGTTTCCAAGGGGGAGCTCGTCCTTCTCGTCTTTTCCCACGACGTAGAACCAGACGAGGCCGAGGAGATGCGGTGGTTTATATTCAGGAACTACGACGATGCCGTCCTCCTTGCTCTTTCTGTCATCCGTTTGGTTTTTCAGGCCTCTTCTCATCGCAATGACGAAGTCCTCCCAGGGCCAGGGCGAGGCGGGCGCAGCCGGCATGAAGTGGAAGATGGCTTGAACCACCACCCAAGGGATCTGGTTCTCAAGCTTCATGATGTCGGTGCAGATGTGCTCGTAGTTGGCGAAGAAATAGTTGTTCAGCGCCTCATCCATGTCGTCGTCGTTGACATAATACCAACGCATGTACTGCACCAAGAAGCAGGCATCAAGGAACATCATCGGCAGGAAGTTGTCGTCGCGGAATTTTGCCGGATTGTCCTGGTGGTAGAGGTTGCGGGCGTCAGGTAACACGAAGAAGACCGCATTGTACATCTCCTGGAGTGAGCGGGTCGACTCCCTCATGCATTGGGTGGCAGCCACATGCTTCATCCTCTCCGCCTCCAGCAAGCCGGGATGAGCACCGTGGTGGTAAGGGCCGATGGCCACAGTCAACGGCTCCTTGTACCGTGGGAAGACATCTATCAGGCTTGGAGGGACCTTGTGCATCTTCCATTCCATGCTGTCCGAGTAGTCAGCACGGAACGGTTCCACTGCTTCCTCGAACACCTGGATCGGATAACTACTGTCGTTATCGTGTGTAGCTGGGGCTAGGGATGGGGATGCATACTCAACCATCTGCAGCTGCACGCTATCACTATGGCTAGGCAAGGATGTTTGGAAGCTAATCCTATCTTCACTACTCCACGCAGCTGCTGCTTCTTCCATGGACCAACCCGAGTCGCAAGGCACGATCCAAGATGGTTCCATGCTCATCGCCCAGCTGCCCAAGAGTACTCAAGGAGTGGACTAGCTACCTACCTAAATACAAACACAGAGTGTGGAAGAGATGAATGAACTAGTGATTAAACAAAGAAGCACACGGCCTTGTATCTCCTCTTATAGACCAACCAACCAGCCACATCGCCCATGCCGGACAATTTCCCGGCTGGATGCATGTGCGTCTTGGAATCTATCAATGCAGTCCACACATGGCTCAGCCTGGGTCAAGAATGTATCGATGTGCAAATTGGTAATTTTGTCTGCAAATGGTGTCGCTCGATGGTATTATTTATTGGTCAGTGTACCTCTGTCCTACGTTGCCATGGTTGGTCTTCACATGTTCAACTCTAGTAGTAAGCTTAAGCATCTTTCGTCAACAGAACATCAGGGACCAACCTTATTCGATGCTATATAATACGTTAGCTGATTGATCTGGCATGCATGTGACAACCAGCTATATTCAAATTATGTTGCATTTTCAAGAGATAAAATTTGGATGTACTAGGAAGAAACCACTAAATATTGCGTCCAGTTTTGGGAAACCTGACAAATTTGATGCTCCAGATCAGCCGAGTTCCATATAATATGGCTGTTTGATCAATGCGGTATATATGGTACGAATGGCTGTCATATGATATATTGTATGGTTATACTTGCTAGAACAAGCTGTGCTTTTATCACTAGCGGCCAATAATCATGTTTGAAGCCGTCGACAATTAGATAACCCTCTGTTTTCCTTATCAAGGCATCCTGCTGACTGGTGGAATGAGTTGGGCAGTCGCATCCTTCCTACATAGCCAGATATTTACACGGGACATCTCCCAAATTAAATGTGACATTTCCAAATTGTCCTTTTGAGAACCAACATAGATATCAGTTGCCTGATAACAATATTCCAAGGTAGTATACTACTACTGATACGATTACAGGGACAATATTCCAAGCATTTGTCTTGCTGCCTAATAACAACATTCACGTTATTTTTCATGTGGATAAAATTATTAGCTTCCATACTTCGTGCATGCATGTTTGTAAAATACTCATATGTCTGGTTTACCAAGTCCCAAAGAGGGAAGCATTTGATTACTCTAGAATCATGAACAATTAATCATGGGTTTCAATGTGTCATATTATATCGTATCTTTTTTCCCAGATACTAAGGAGGAAGTATGTCTTCAGAAACATTTCGACCTTGAAATTTATCTCCTCATTATATTCCGTATTTTTTCCGCGGGGCCTCATCATATCTTGTCTTGGGTGAAAGATAAAGTGAAGTGGCCACCGTCACCAAAAGAATGAACAATGCGGCCAACCATGATGTAGCTGAATAAACAAATAATATGTCATCAACATATTACATAGGGATTTAAAATTTGTTACTTAGGTACTCTCTTCGCTTCTGAATTATAAGATGTTTTGAATATTCAAATATGTACTACGTAAGTAGTGAAATGAGTGAAGAAATAAACTAAAATGTGTCTATATACATTTTATTTAGAAACTTTTTTAGAACATCTTGTTATTTGGACCGGAGGGAGTATTTGTTATGATAAGAAGATGTCAAGAGTCATAGTCGCCAACAATAAGAAGTTGTACAACACAAGGCTTTTATTTTCCCTTCATATTTGGAAGTTAAAATGACTTGGTTTGAGAAATACCTGCAATGACTTTGATACGCGAACCTGCAAATACCAAGAAAGAAATGAGATAAACAGAAAGGAATTAGAGTAGTGAAGGAATTATACTTATAAAAAGTTGTAAAACACACAAATTAAGTGATGTCCACCGTGGCTGCAGCACATTGTCCTAATATACGAGGAACAAATATATGAAGCTATTTATGCCTTCCCGATTCATTTCATGTCGCCTCCTGCCGGTGTAGCCATGCTAGCTGGAGCTACCGTCAAACAAACCAACCAAGCAAGTAACGACAACTGAAATAATAACTAATCACACCCGGTCGAGTATACCTTAGCTGGCTCCTGGCCGAAACACGACGCCAAACAGGCGGGCCGGTCGTCCAGATGAAGCTTCTTCAGGGTTGGTCTTCACATGTTCAACTCTAGTAAGCTTAAGGAATCACAGTACGGCGGCATCTTTGGTAAAGACAATATCAGACACCAACCTCATTTGATGCTATATAATAAGGTTAGCTGATTGATCAGGCATGTGACGACCAGCTATCCCAATTACGTTGAATTTTCAAAAGATGAAGTTTACTACTCCCTCCGTTCACAACTATAAGATGTTCTGGGTATTCTAATATGGACTGGGCTGCATATGGATTGAAATGAATGAACAAATATACTAAAATGTGTTTATATATGTTTGATTTAGAGAAAAAAACAGCTTATAATTGTGAACAGAGGGAGGTAGATGTTAGTGGTACTCATAAGAAACCACTAAATATTGCGTATCGTTGGTGCGACGTTTCTGGAAACCAGCCAAAATTTTGATGCTCTAGATCGGCTGAGGTTCCATATAGTATGGTTGTCTGATCGATGTTTTTTTTGAAAGATCCAGTTACCTGGCTTTTCATTGATTTAGCAGAAGAGAGAGTTACAAAAATTATTGCTAATCAAAGGAGATTAGCAATAGAGGTTTGATAGAAAAATTTGAAGTAGAGCGTGCAGGATCCCTCCCCCTTAGGGAAAAACTATGCTTTATATCTCATGTGATGTCCCCAAAGGGGGGCGCTATTCCTTTTGCTCCGGCTAGTCTCCATTGCTCGAAATCTCTTCTGCAGGCGTTGATCACATCATCGACACAGGCCACCTTCCTCCTGAATGTGCAGCTGTTGCGCTCCTGCCAAATATGCCATGCCACCAGAGCCATCATGGTTTTGGCGCCCACTACAAGAAACTTGTTATTCCATGACGAATTTCCGGTGACGTTCTCAGGAACCGTCATGATCAATGACAGATTTCTCTGGTTCGTCATGAAATCTGTCACAGGTTAGTGAGATGAGAACAAACCCAACGACATGGCGCCGTTATGATGGACCGTCATGGATGGCTCATGCTGACATGTCATGCGTGTTTGACCCACATATGTGAGGCTTTGTTTTTTTACAAGTTGCTCGAATCGTTATGGACAGCCCTCCGGTCCTTTTTTTAGGAAAACGGGCTGCTGCTGCTGCTGCGCCGTATCGTTTCTTGTGATTTTTTTAAGGAAAAAAAGATGTTGCACTTCAAGCGGATCGAACCAGGGACCTCACACTCATATGAGTAGGTCGCTGCTACTGGGCAAAGACTATGTTTCTATCACAGTTTTTTCTAAGTGCTTAATATAAGAGGCGAAGTTTTTTGGTTTAAGAAAAAGATCGAACGGGGATTCGAACCACGTAGCACTAACCAACCTCTACGTCTGCTCTATTAGAAGGTGGCATTTACTGGTCAGATGAGTTTGCACAACGAAAACGGCAGACATACAGGTGTGGGCCTGTATTAGGAGACAACGGCGTGGGCGGGTGCATTAAAATTATTATTTTTGAGAAGGCGGGTGCGTTAACATAGAGCTAGTAAAATGTTTCCTCGGTACAGACGAGCCCACGGCTCCGTGAGTGAACATATCAGTGGACTATTAGCACGATGACAGGGTGTACGATTTGGTGGGCGTTTTGTGAGCAGAAAAGGCTAGCAACACACTTCCGTGAAAAACAAAAAAAAGTTACAACGCAATTAGTACAAAAAGCTTATGGATCGGACGCTCAATCATTATTATTTTATTTTCTTTTCCAGTTCCTTTACATTTTATTTTTTATTTTTGTATTACATTTTTGGTAAACAAACACGAGCTAAAAATATACAAAATGTTCGTGGATATTAAAAAATGGGTTCATGTGTCTTTGGGAATAAATTATACTTATGTTAAAAATGTTTGCCATATTAAAAAACTCATCGCGTATTTATAAAATGTGCATCATGTATTTAAAATCTTGATTATTGTGCACTCAAAAATGTTCATAGTGTAATTCAAACTTGCTCATCATGTAATATAAAAATGACCATCATGCGTTAACACTTTTTGTAGTTACATGTACATTCTTTTAAATGTGTGAACACTTTTTTAAAAAGTGTTCATCGCGTAGTGTTTTTAAAAATTGTTCATAGTGTAATTCGAAACATTTTACCACATATTGAAAAGTGTTTATTGTGTAATAAAGATGTTCAACATGTATTAAAAAATATTCATTGTTTATTAAAATGTGCATGATATATCTTTAAAAACATAGTGTACTAAAATATTCATTACCCATTTTAAGAAACATTATGCGTCAAAAATGGTCAGTGTGCCTTATAATGTGCTTGTGTATGTATCATAAAATGTTTGTATTTTTCAAGAAAGAAATAAAAGACTTTTTTAAATGTTCATCGCGTGTTTAAAAAATGATCATGGTCTATCTAAAAAAATTCAATGTTTCTATTACAAAATGTTCAACATATTAAAAAAATGTTCACGTGCATTTATAGTATGTTTGACATATTTCGAAGAAAAATGTGTTCAAACATTTTTACCAGTTATTTTACAAATTTTAGCGTGTATCTTAAGAAATATTCAACACATTTAAGAAACATTCACCGTGTATTTAGAAAAATATTTGACAACGTATTTGAAAAATGTTCAATGTGTGTTCAAAAACTATTTGCCATGTATTTTAGAAATACTCAACGTGCATTTGACAAGTGCTCAACATGTATTCGGAAAAAGTTTAGGAGTATATCCAAAAATGTTTAATGTATATTTGAAAAAATGTCAACATGTATTTTAAAAATAGGACTGATAAAAATGTCAACATGTATCACTCATTGCGACGGTGTGGGGGCAGGCAACTCGGCGTCAACATCTCTTACTGATATGATTCAAATTTGAAATGCAAGTGGTTGAAAAATGTTGGCTAAATTGGGTTGAAAAAACATATTGGGTTGAAAAAGCACAATTATTTTTAATACACATTTAACCTTTCCTAAAACAAATTGAAAAAATTTTGAAAC